AAACTAAGTCCTTTAGACGCTTATTGTCGGCCTCAAGTTCATTCTGTTTCTTTTCGGCTTCTTTCCTAAAAAGAGAATTCTGGTCATCAAGATCTCTGATCATTTGGTCTTTAACAGCCATCGCCTGATCTATTTTCTCCTGAATCTGAACTTTCAACGATGGAAGTTCCATAGCTCCATCAAAATGAGTCAGGTCCTCGCCTTGCTCAACATAAGGAGAAATTAATTGTTCCATTTCGCGCAAGAATGTGTGAAACTTCTCTGTCATATCTTTCATCCGTAATCTGCTGTCTGAAGCAGCATCTTCAGCACACTTTTGCGCAGTCTCTACCATATGAACCCGATATTCTGCCGTGTCAGCACTTTTCTTCAACTCTTCATTTAAACTGGCAGTAATGACATGGTTATGAACAACCTACGCATTTAGAGTGTACAAAACAATTAAAACAAATAGTTGAAGAAAAATTACATTTTGTAAATACAAAAAATTAAAATGATAGAATCAGAAAAACACTTAAAGCGAAATTTGTCTAGAAATAGTACCTGCAACAGTAATTTGAAGTTCTCTGCAACGGGGTCCGGCACTCTCAAAAAAGTTTCACACGCTCCAGCAGCAGTTTGTGTTAAACAGAATTTAGCTTTCTCCACTTCGGATAAGCCAGATAAATCCCCAAAAATCCCAGCAGCAGCACTCTGGTTTTCCATCAAATTTTCCCGCACAACATCGGGAAGTACCACAATTGAGGTTGACTTATACCCCATATCATTTGACCGAAAAGTTCTGAAAGAATTTACACCAGAAGCCGGTGGCACATCTACTTGTCGAGGCTCATGAATATGTTCATCCATTTCCTTGAAATGTAAAGACTCTTCTCCTCCAACTGTCATATCAGTATGTTCAATGTGTGTAATGAAGACATTAGCCTGTCTTTGACTTTCTTCAGCAAAAGGGTTTATCGTGAATTCAGAAAGATGAGGCGCTCCAGAAAGAGTTTCTTGTTCAACGTTTTCAATTTGTCTTGCAAGGGTAGAAAGAGTTTGTTGCTGAATGTTTTCAATTTGTTTTGCAGAGGTAGAAAGAGTTTCCTGCTGAATGTTGTCAATTTGTCTTGCAGAGGTCAAAGGTTCAGGATCTATCTCCTTAGACATTTCTCCTGGACCATCGTTTTCCTTTGTTCTTTTCGATGACGGAGCCACAAATTCTAAAGGGAACTGGGCTGGGTTGAAAACAGCCCTAGACTTTCTTTTTCTACCCATATTTTGTATTTCTATATCTGATGAAGAGGTATCCAATAAAGGGTCTTTCGGTTGGGCTGTTACTCTGGTTTCCTTCCTCCGCAACAAAAGGGTAAGAGGCTGTAGAAATAAGTTATCAGCACAATTCCAGTTATTGGAAATAAACTACAAATACATGAACAACAATACTATGTAAATCACCCAAAATCAAATAATTAATAAGAGAAAGGAAACCAATCTTTCATACTTGATTCAATCCTTATAGGTCCACCACATAATAACAATATGCATTTGCCATATAACATTTTAAGAAGATCTTTAAGTCTTAAAACGAAACATGCATTATGTATCTTAGAAAATTAACAATGTATTCTAAAAATGCAGAACTCATATATTGAAATTCCATAAGCAAACCAAGCAGTTCATTACAGAGAAGCAACAGAAATTCTATAGCTGATTAAATACGAATATGTTTAACAGTTAACAAACAATATGTTGCGAAACATTATTAGTAATGAAGTCTTTATAAATTAGTAGTAATTCCTGTGCAATGCATATTGTAGCTGGATTATATGTAAAACAGAGTGTACTAAATACAATTACATTCAACACGTATTACTACACGTATATATGCAGAACAAAGAGCACTGGAATGTTACACTGAAACAAGAAATATATTAAAATTACGCAAATCAACTATTTCGTAACAAAAAGCCTAACACAATTTAGTATTTATTGAAATTTTCAACAGCATAACATTCAGTAACAAAAACAGTACTTGAAACAGTGTTCTAAACAATATTCTACTCAATTAATAAAGTTGCATGCAACATGTGGTAAGAAACTGGAAATTAAAATGTACACAACATACTATAGAAAATATATGCATTAACATTTCATACTTTGAAAAACGTTTAAGCAAAACAAAGTAAAGATCAAACCTATACTCACCAAATTATCCAACAATTCGTCCTCTGAACTTTGGTTGTCTTCAGTGTCAGGAATAGACTCGGAAAGACCGGCTTCTATAGCAGCAGCAGTGGCTAGAATTTCCTCTTCAGGACCCAAACGAAATAATGGATCACGTTTCAAGTACCACGGCTTATGCTTGGAATATTCAGAAGAATTGACTATCTCAAGATAATTTGCACGTAGTGCAGGAGCTCTTTCAGAAGTAGGAGTAATCGCAGGGTCTCTTTTGGTCACTTTTCTTCTGACGTTAATTCCAAGACGTTCATAATTCAACCCGCAATTCGACTCATGCAACACTGAAAAAAAAAACAGACAACAATAACACCAATAGTGAAAAAAAAAAAAAAAGAAACGAGCCTTCGGCCCCAACCGAGAATCTTACCCCCTTGGTACTTTCGGCTGAGGCCGACGGCAGCTAATATCCTCTCCTGGAAAATATAGTGATAACAAGGAAGCCAAGTGGCTGGAGTATGTTTCTCTCGTCCCCCTCTTCCTGTAACCACCTTTCCGAAGAGCTTCATAAGTTGATTATCTTCAGCAAAAAATTCATCAGGACCGATAGCAGACATTTTCGGATCGGGCATCCTCAGATATCTCGGCGCTCCAAAGTAGTTTAAATGTTCCTCTTCGGATGGAGTCCTGATCCAAATCCATTGACCCCTCCAATCTTTATCCGAAGTGTCGTGAGGCCAACTAGTTAAATAACCTCGTTTTGCTTCAATTCGCCACCATCCAAGACCATTTGTTCGGAAGACTGTCTATTCGGTACTAAAGCATGCAATTGCCGGAAAACGTGTTCACTGGGGTCAAACCCTAAAAAAAGGGAAACCCATAAGAATGTCATAACTCTTCGAATACTGGCCGGAGTCAACTGACACAACGCAATGTTATACCCATTCAACACTTTGGTTACAAAAGGATGAAGAGGAAACCTCAACCCTGATTGTAACTGCCTAGTATATACTCCAATATACCCAGGCGGCGGTCTGTGAATTCTATCTTCTATAACTGGCATTCGACACCAGTATCCGTCCTATTCATAAATACCATAGAAAATTTCAATTTGCTCAGCGAAACGATATCAGGCATTCTGTGTAACCCACCATCCGTACGGAGCAGCAGTTCTAAGGCCCGAATTTTCAATTGGATTGTACCATTCCTCTGCACCTTCTGGCAGACAGCGAGGCCCATGAACAGCACCGCTCTTCCCACTCCCTGAATGTCACATATGAAAATGGTCTAGCAGAAGCTAATGGTACAGCCGGTATCGGAACATTAATCGTAGGTTCTCTTTCCTCCATATTAGAAAGAGTAGTAGCGTGACTAAGAGGTGGCATATGTCCGAGCGGCTGTCTACGCCGAGGACCTGTGGACACAACTTGTCGCCTTTCAACTTCTTCTCCTCCACCAACAGCAGGCGCTTTACCCAAATTCCGACGTCTAACCAAAATAATGAAGAACAATCGTACGACAATGGAAATTGAAAAAATGAAAATAAATCCAAATGAAATCAGAAATAATTACCTGTCCCTAAAACGGAAATCAGCGGGCTTGTACGTCGTCATGTCAGATTTTGAAGTACAAATGAGATTAATAGATATTCGGGATGCAAATTAACTGTGGGAAAAAAATTCGGTATTTCTAGGGTTCGGTTTGCAGGAAATTGATTAATGAATAACGGAGAGGATATATACCTATAAACTTTTGAATTAAAATACAGAGAAGGTTAATAGTTAAGTGAATCGTCACATTTCCCATTAAACTATTATTAAACTAAATTCTTGAAAGTCTAACTACCGACAAAACGTCGCAACTATTTAATTATACTAAGTAATGGTGGTTATAATAACCGTTTAAATTATCCAAATTTCACCAATTTCAAAATGCAATCATTTACAGTACAAAATACTTGCTAATCATACAAATAATAATTTGATTAATAAAAAATTTGTAAGAATAATTCATCCAAATTAAAGTATCTATCAGAATACAAATACCTGTCCCCAGATCCACTTATGTGCAGTTTCTTAAATTTTAAAATAATAACACATAATATCTGTACTGTAGATTATGCTAAACAAACACAAAATTGCTATTAGTATATATATCCTCCAAAATGAAAACAGTAATAAAATCTTGTAATAAAATACAACTTTATTAAAAGATTTAATTTATTATTTTTCACAATATATATAAACTTGATATTTGTAACAAAAGGCTCTTAAATATGGAAGTATAATAGAAATTAACATAACCATCAAAATTCCTAATTAAACTATTAGTAAACACATTCATAAAAAACCAACTACCGACAAAACATCCCAATATATTTATTACACTCTCTGTTGTCTGTTATAATCATTGACAATATCTACATTTCACCAATTTAAACTTCCAATTAACTGTAATATATGTTAATTGCAACAATAATACGTTGATCTCTAACTATTTTTTACAAAACAATAAAAAAGAAGTTTAATATATACGGTGAATAAATATCTTTTCACAAATTCGTATGTGAGAAATCTACATAATTCCCGAATCACAATATATAACATCTACAACATTAATTTTGTTAAATAAATACGAATGATCTTAACATAATGAATGCTTTAAATGGAACATAACTTATTGACCATTCTGAAAAGAAATACAACTTTATAGCAATATTTGTAATTATACTGTTTTTTAGAACACATTAATGTTTGTTGTAATTAGTATAGTATTTTTTTAAGAAAAAAGATTACAACACCTACAAAAATGCCATTATACAACAACAAGCATGTTTGATGTTAAACAGCTTTTGAATACTTCAAAATGTCAAAGGACACTACATTTCTAACCGAGTTGACGTGATACCCCTCTGGCGGTTTCATTGTATAAAAAACAACATTTTTAGCCTTTGTTGCCCGAGATAAAGCCACATACAGTTGACCATGTGCAAAACACGGTCGAGGAAGATAAACCGAAACCTGATTCAGTGTTTGTCCTTGTGACTTATTAATCGTCATAGCAAAACATAATTTAATTGGGAACTGTTTCCTTTCAAAAGTGAATGGATATCTGCTATTTGTTGGAGGGCGTAAAGTTGCTCGATGCAAAAAAACAGTTTTCCCTTTATATTGACCAACAGAGATTTCACAGACGATAACGTTGGGCTGAAAAATCTTGCAAATCAATCTCGTCCCATTACAGAGACCATCCGAAGGCATTATATTACGTAACAAAATCACAGGGCAGTCTTTTTTAAGCACAAGCTCATGAGGACTCATTCCTCCTGGACAAAGCTTATTTACAAACTCTGATTGATAGATATTGCAAGTATCATTGAGCATTGCATCAAAACTCTTATAAATCACCTTATTTCCTGGAAACTGTTCAATCAAAACTGAATTGACCATATCCACATCATCATTCATCGGAGTTAAAATTGCTCTATCTGCAAAGATGTTTGATGTAATCGTTCCTTTCTCAACTTCTGGGAAAGTAGCTTTTATAATCTCCAAAATGGGGTCCCTGTCAATCTCCAAATGACGTACCATTCCATTAGGAAGCTCTACATATCATCACTCATTTGTTTGTAATTCACCATTACTAAGAGATAACAAAAACGCACAAAATGTTGGATCTTCACGAGCTCTCTGATTTTCCGTTAACTTTAATCTTTTCAAAGATGGCCAGATATATGAAGCGACAATGCTCGATTCAACAGCATGTCTTAAGGACTTTTGGGGTACAACCGGTAAAACCTGCCTAAAATCTCCACCGAAAATGATAAGTTTACCACCAAAAAGTGTCGTATTTTCACATATATCTTGCAACAGCAAATCAAGTGCCTGTAAATTCGCCTTATTCGCCATAGAAGCCTCATCCCAGATAATCAAAGCTGTCTCTTTTAATAATTGTGCTAAACTACCTTGTTTTGGCACATCACACGTAAAACAACTCTCATGATCAACAGGTATTTTAAATCTTGAATGAGTTGTTCTGCCTGAAGGTAGATTTGATGCGGCTATTCCAGATGACGCAGTGGGCAGTAAAATTTTATTCATCATTCGAATTTCTGCATATAAACTATTGTATAAAAAAGTCTTACCCGTGTCGCCTGGTCCATCAATGAAGAAAGCACCTCCTTTTCCCTCCTTGACGTGATTCATTATGACATCATATGCATTTAGTTGAGCTTCATTCAACCGTGATCTTGAGTTTATATATTCTTCAGGAATAGGTATATTCAAAGCATCTGTTATAACTCTCGTTTTCCTGAACTCGTCACTGACATTATAGCCCAGATGATCCAGCCCAAATGTTTTCAGTGATTTACCCATTGATTCAAGATGTTGCTCTAATAAACTAACAGTTAGTTGTTTAGCTTTTCCGGGACAATCTTTAAACTGGTACCTATAATCTTCCGACAATGAGGCATAATACTTTTCCCATAAAGAAGCTGGATCACTGGGCTGGCAAAATATCAGTATTGTTGCAAACAGCCGTCTCAAAGCACACGGTAATTGTATCTCTGCAGCTTCAGTTAGACATATGGATGCAGCATCATCATCCTCCAAAAGGCCTAGCCGTTTAGCAGTTTCTTGAAATGTAGCACAAACATAATTGTCAACTGTACATAAGTCTGTAAACGAAGTTGAATTTCGTACATTAAGCAACAATAGTCGAAGATAATAACGTTCACCTTCGGCAGGCAAGACAAACGATATTCTACCAACAACAGTGAGTGCATTTTTTCGGTCTTTCCATTCTTTCACATTTGAATTCCATGTGTAGTGTTCTGGAAAATCACTGTATAAAAGGTTAACACCACCATCAACCGACGCATTCACTGCAAAGTACTCCGTTAAAGGTGTACGTGCGCGCTTAGGATCTCTAACAACCCGTCTGAAATTTTCAAATGGTCTTACAGCAATGGATTGCATGTTTGGAAGATGCACTGGTAATGGCATAACAGGAGGAAAATTCTCAAATAAATCAAAACCAAATATTCGCCATATTCCCTCACATGGAGATACCCACCTACAATTTCAAACAACAAAATTCAAATGTAATATTTGTAATCATAATATCATAATGTAAAGAAATGTGAACTAAATATGTAAATAAAGCACTCAATACCAACCTGCTAGATTGAAATTGTTCTATTTCATCAAATTTTTTTTCATTTGTAGCAGATATCTTAAATGATATTCGATCATGCCCTTTATAAACATATTTATATAAATATTTCACAGCTTTGATAGTTGAACAAACCTCAACATTTATATGACAATCAAACATAAGTAATAAATATGGATTATAGGGTACTACCCACTGATTATTTAACTCAGCCCTTCGAACCTTTACTTTTTCACCTGTCGGTCTTCTCCTATATACAGGATACCCATCTTTGTTGTTTGCTGCCTCTGAATTGTAATCTTTTGGATATCCATTTTTGCAGATCATTTTTTTCCCATCCATTCTCATACAAGGACACTTAGGATTCAGCTTCCCACAAGGCCCATGCATCATATGAGTCAAGACAACTTTACGAAGACGAGGATTATAAAACGATGGGATTTCAGCACAAACAAACTTATCATATTCAGATGGCCCTCTTATCTTGAAATCACGATTCAGTATTATTAAAAAATGTGCATGTGGTAATCCTCTTTTTTGAAACTCAACAACATAGATCATTGCTGCCACTTCACCAAAAATTCTTTCTTTTTTAATTTTTTTTTTAATGCCAACAATTTTGCACAAAATATACGGGCCACTATATCTGGTCTATCCTGAGCTTTCTCTCCAGGTTGTAATTCACACTTTATTTCGGGCCAATTTGCATTACATGTCATAGTAATAAACAAATCCGGTTTCCCATATCTTTGAACTAATGCCATTGCATTTAGATACCGACGTTTTAGATCTCTAAGACATCCAATAAATGACGGAGGTAAAACAACAAGATGTCCAACCTTTGAAGCATCTGTCTCTCCATCTGTTACACTATCATGAATACCCTGATAAAGATCAGCTCTAATGATATCTTGATTGTTCCGCAAATAATCGAGTCTTGAATTTTCGATCTTCACATACATGTCCACAACAAATTGTTGAAAACATCTTCCACTTCTAAGGAGCATGTTCGAAGGCCTCATTTGTAATACGTAAGCATAGTATTCTCTTGGAGAGATATACTTATCAGCTCTTGTCCTGTGTTTAACGGTCCCTATATTGTGCCAAAAATAAATAAGAGAACACATTAAATTTCCCAGCATAATAAATAGTTTAAAACAAATACGAACTAATATGCATAAATAACAAACACCTACGTGATTCTTCTTCGTCTAAGAAATTCTGCACGGTATGAACTGTACAGGAATGAATAGGATCTGGAACCTGTTGTGTATGATTTTTCCCACCAACATTTCGCTTCTTAAGATTCTGAGTCCATCCACATTCACCAAAAGGGAATAATAACAGGTATTGTAATGGATCATAGCACCCATAATAATGACAAATCCGATGAGTTTGGGCAGACTTTCCATGCACAATAATATGTGGAGTGCTAATCTGACTTGAAGACGCACCATCTGGCCACACAGCAGCAACTTCATCAGAAACAGGTGCGTTATAAACACGTTGATCCAAAACAGGATTTTGAGATAATACTATCTGCGTGTCTTCATCTATCTCTATTTCCCTCAACGATCTAAAAAATCTTGCATATGGATTCATTTCAGTAATCTTCATTAATATACGAATAATATCCTCTCGTACCTCAGGAAAACAATTCACTCGATTCTGAACTTCGTGCTGGCCATCATAAAAATAGAGCTGCAAAAATTTAGGGCTACCATCATTAGGCAGAAGATCTGGAACGGAATGATATACTTGCCCATGCATTTTAAATAAATATATCCCCTTAAATGTCGTCGACTCCGTTTTACCGCGTATAGAACTATAAGCAAAGAGATTGTTAGACATTCGGCTGTATTGCTTGAAATGTTTAGCGTCTTCCTCTTCTGATAAATATAATCGGCATAACTTATCAGGAAATTGATTAGCTGCAACCACAACCTGTCCGCCACAACAGCAGGAACTCGAAGTTTCATACATGAATTTCTTGGCATTACAATACAAACAACACGAAGCACTCTCAAGCACAAGAGGGCCAACTGGAAGGTTTTCACCAATGATTGCGAGTGGTCTCACTGCCGAAACATGGGAAAAACGTTTTTGGAAAAAAAAAAACCAAATACATTTAGATTCATTCCAAATATCACATACAATAGTTAATTCTTATATTAAAAAAGAAACCGTAACAATACCTTCTAAACCGGGGTTTTTGGAAGACGCAGACTGTGCAAAAAACAGGGATCTTTTGCTCTTACGTTGTTCAATTTTTTTCCGTTTGTTGGCAGATAAAAAAAATGAATATCACGTTCTTTTCGTTTTTTGGATTCATGTCTACAAAAAAACCATAATATATATTAATTTCAAATAATATACCACATAAAGGAGAAGAACATCAAAAACTTACAACGTCTCACAAACTTCAACTGGCACAGTATGCCATATTGCGTCGGAATATGGCAATGCCGAAAAATTTTCTATTCGAAATTGGAAAACAAAACAAAAAAACGCGATATAAATTCCATACATCGTAGATCATATGAACACGTTTATAATACTCACTTATCCAAAATAATGCCTTCACACAATGTTAAACAATATTACCTGCATTACACGGCTTCCAGCTACTCCTGGATTTTTTTTCTATAAAAGAATAAAAACATCAATAAATACAAATAAATACCATAATCATAGTCTGGATCAAAGTATATCCACAATGTTGACGACAAACACGAAGACTTACACTTCTTCACAATCTTGAATAGGCACCTCAAAACAATCAGCAAACAGGTGTCCATGTGCTGGCCGCAAGCTTTCAGCATTTGTATCCACGTGGCGAACATTTATCGGATTGTCGTCGATAACCAACACACCGTTTTCCTCTGTAGATGCAACCAATACATCAACACTCGGTTGACCTTTTTTTGTGACGACATCTGCCGGAACTTGAAGAGCGTTACATATAGTTTCTTCCCCATCCTTACGACCATCGAAAAAAACTGGGATTCACCTACCCTCGCCTCCAACCGGTCGACTGCTCGACGGGAAATTTGTCGGCAACGACATCACCGTTTCTGACGAATGTTCTCCTAAATCGACAATAGGCCTAATCTTCCTTTTTGTAGGTCCTTTCTGTGTAATCATATTTTCGGCTCCCACAGCAAGGTTCATTTGTTCTTCCATACCCATCGCAACATAATTCTCAGAACATGCAGCGAAGACATCAACTTCCATTTGGCCTTTAGCGGAAACATTATCTCCCGAAATTTGAACAACGTTACATTTAGTTCCTTCCCCTTGCTGACGAACATTGAGCGAATTTAAAATGGGCCCTTTACCGAAACCACCCGTTCCTACAAGTCGTTGTTTTCTTTTCGACTGAATGGATAACTCGTCGGATGAAATTTGAACTAAGTGAACAATAGGCCTATCCCTTTTTTTAGATCCCCTATGTCCCACAATTCGCACAGGCAACAAATTTGCCGAACGAGGTTGAGTAAACTCTTCATTTAAATTTTCAGCATCTGATATAATTCTTGGTTGCTCTTCCACAAGTAACGCAACACTATCCCCACCAGGCGTGGTAGAAACACCAATATTTGATTGATCTTTTCCATTCGTATTCTGTTCCCGCCTTAACCCCTTATGCATACATAAGTCCTTCAAAGGATATTCACCCAAGTCAACAGCTATCCCTGTCGCTGAAATGCCAGGTGTTACATCTCGACTCTCCTTTGTCGACGATCGAACAGACTCACTTTCAGGAAACTGCCCTGGACTAACAACAGCTGTAGTTTTATTTTTTCTCACCATCTATACAACATTTCGGCCACAAAAAAAAGCGATCAGATTATAAATATACGCATATTTCCTGTATTCGTACTCCAACATAACCCCACCATCAGATAAAACTCCGATAATCTATACAGGTTAAAAACACGTAATAAAACAAGAAAACCCATGATTAGTAACAAAAAGTTGTACAATAAATAACCTAATCCGTAAATACAAGTAATAACTTCAAAATATACAAAAACCACTAAAAAAACACAACTGCAAAACACCGACATCAACTACTTATCCAAACCAAACATCTATAATTGCCGTGGATTAACAACTCTATATTTCATTTTTCTTACCATCTGCACAACATGGCCACTAAGAAAAAATTGATCAAGTTCTAAAATTCAAACAAACACTAACAAATATAAACAACAATGAAATCGAAATTGCAATACCAAAAAAAAAAAAAAAAACCACAACACAAACCTGTGTATAACTCCAACAGCAAACGGAATAGAAGAACGAAAACACAAATTTGGAAAAATAAATAAAAATTACAGAAAGAAAAGGCAATTATATATAGAATGAGGAAATAGATTAACGGAAAAAACAAAATCGGAAGAGAGAGAAACAAGAAATGAAAAAAACCTAAGGAAAAAAAAAGGCCGCCTATATATAGATAGAAAATGTTTCGGCAAGAACCCGAATGTAATATGTAAGAACAAATCCAAAAAACAAGTACTGAAAGAAATGTTGTATTATTCAAATTGCTACTGTTCAAAATTGACACTGTTCAATACTGTCAATAATGAGTCTACCGTTGAAATCAATAGCTAATTATGAACAGTAATGTATTGTGCTTTTCCCCTTTCCTTTGTCGTTATCCTCCTTTCTTCGGCACCCAGCCGAAATGAGAATACCGTTAGAATCCTCTCTTTTTAAGAGTTAAGAGAGAAGTTCACCGGTACCCCCATTGTGAACAGCAGCGAAATCAATTGCCAATTATGAACAGCAGCGAAATCAATAGCCAATTATGAACGGTAGTGTATTGTGCCTTTCCCCTTTCCTTTGTTGTTATCCTCCTTTCTTCGGCACCCAGCCGAACTTAGCTGCTGATTTCTTCTATCCTTCCTTTCTGTCTCTTCTTCTTGGCCATCTCTCGATCATCGTTTCCCCAGATTTAGCTAAACCTTTTGCTTTTTTATTCCTTTTCGCATTAATGGCTGCCTAATTCCAACAGTCATCGGTAAATTTGAAATGATATCTTCAATATCTTCCAGTGAATACATAACTTGCCTCTAATAGTCTAATTTTCAGTTTTGCTTCAATTTGTTGTAATATTTGTTGATCGTTAATGTTTTTTCTTTGGTGCAATTTTGCTTGCGGTGTTTGGATTTGCGATCGCTTCAATGGTGTTGCAGAAACAATTTGTAAATGTACAAAAACCACTACAAAAACACAACTGCAAACCCTCGACATGAACGAAAAAACACAATCGTAAGAGACAGAAACATGAAATGAAAAAAACCTAAGGGAAAACCAAAAGAAGCTGCCTAGATATAAAAAGATAATGTTTCAGAAAAAGCCCGAATGTAATATAGGAGTACAAATCCGAGAAACAAATGTTGAAGCAAATGTTGTACTGTTCAAAATGATGCTGTTCAAAATTGACACTGTTCAAAACTGGAAATTTGAAATGTGTTACTATTCATAGATATATACAGACCACTATATCTGGCCTATCCTGAGCTTTCTCTCCAGGTTATAAGTCACACTTTATTTCGGCCCAATTTGCATTACATATCATAGTAATAAACAAATCCGGTTTCCCATATCTTTGAACTAATACCATTACATTTAGATAACGACGTTTTAGAACTCTAGGACACCCAATAAACGACGCAAGTAAAACAACAAGATATCCAATCTTCGAAGCATCTGCCTCTCCACGTGTCACACTATCAAAGATACCCTGATAAAAATAAGGTCTAATGATTTCTTGATTGTTCCGCAAATAATCAAGTCTTGAATTTTCGATCTTCACATACATGTCCACAACAAATTGCCGAGAACATCTTCCACTTCTAAGGAGGATATTTAAAGGCCTCATTTGCAATATGCAGGCATAGTATTCTGCTAGAGAGATATACTTATCAGCTATTGTCCCGTGTTTAACGGTCCCTATACTGTGCCAAAAATAAATAAGAAAACACATTATATTGCCCAGCACAATAAATAGTTTAAGACATATACGAACTAATATGCATCTACAATTGCTGTAGATTAACAACAACTTTATATTTCATTTTTCTTACCATATACACAACGTGGCCGCCAAGGAAAAACTAATCAAATTCTAAAATTCGTTTGAACCGTAGCAATTTGAACAGTACAACATTTGCTTCAGCGAAATCAATTGCCAATTTTGTCCTTTTCCTCCTTTCTTCGGCCGAAATCCCTTTCCTCTTTTTTTTCGGCCGAACTTAATTTCCATTTTCTTTTGTCCTTCCTTTCTCCCTCTTCTTCTTTACTCATTCTGAAGTACTTTTCTATGCTCTTTCCCCTTTTCTCTCTCTTATTTTCAGTAGATTCATTCAAATCCGGAAAACAAATGCCGAAGCAAATGTTATACTGTTTAAACTACTACTGTTCGCACTATCCATTACTGTCAATAATGAGTCTACCGGTAAACTCCTCTCTTTTTAAGAGTTAAGAGAGAAGTTCACCGATATTCCCATTGTGAACAGCAGCGAAATCAATTGCCAATTATGAACAGCAGCGAAATCAATTGCCAATTATGAACAGTAGAGTATTGTGCTTTTCCCCTTTCCTTTGTCCTTATCCTCCGTCCTTCGGCACCAAGCTGAACTTTTATTCCTATTTCTTCTATCCTTCCTTTCTCTCTCTTCTTCCAGGCCACCTCGAAAAAGAATGTTTCGACAAAAGGCCGAATGTAAGAGAGCAGGACAAATCCGAAAAACAACTGCTGGAACAAATGTTGTACTGTTCAAATTGCTACCGTTCCAAATTGGCAATATTCATTACTGTCAATAATGAGTCTACCGGTGAACTCCTCTCTTTGTAAGAGTTAAAAGAGAAGTTCACCGCTACTCTCATTGTGAACAGCAGCGAAATCAATTGCCAATTATGAATAGTAGAGTATTATGCTTTTCCCCTTTCCTTTGTCCTTATCCTCCTCTCTTCGGCACCCAGCCTAACTACTCTTCCTATTTCTTCTATCCTTCCTTTTGCTAAACCTTGTGCTGTCTTTTTCTTTTTCGCATTAATGGATGCCTAATTCCAACAATGACAGGTAAATTCGAAACCCAGCCGAACTTCTCTCTTTTCAACGGTTAACCTTTCCCCTATCCTTTATCCTTATCCTCCGTCCTTCGGCACCCAGCCGAACGTTTCTTCCTAATGCTTCTGTAGAAAATATTTCGGCAAAAGCCGAATGTAAGAGAGCAGGACATATCTGAAAAACAAATGCTAAAACAAATGTTATACTGTTGAAATTGCTACTGTTCCTAATTGGCACTGTTCAATACTGTCAATAATGAGTCTATCGGTGAACTCCTCTCTTTTAAGAATAAGAGAAAAGTTCACCGGTACTCCCATTGTGAACAGCAACGAAATCAATTGCCAATTATGAACAGTAGAGTATTGTGCTTTTCCTTCGGCACCCAGTCGAACTTTTCTTGCTATTTCTTCTATCCTTCCTTTCCCTCTCTTCTTCTTGGCCATCTCGAAAGAGATTGTTTCAACAAAAGGCCGAATGTAAGAGACAAGGACAAATCCGAAAAACAAATGCTGAAGCAAATGTTGTACTGTTTAAATTGCTACCGTTCCAAATTGGCATTGTTCAATACTGTCAATAATGAGTCTACCAGTGAACTCCTCTCTTTGTAGGAGTTAAGAGAGAAGTTAACCGCTACACTCATTGTGAACAGCAACGAAATCAATAGCCAATTATGAACAGCAGCGAAATCAATTGCCAATTATGAATAGTAGAGTATTATGCTTTTCCCCTTTCCTTTGTCCTCATCATCCTTTCTTCGGCACCCAGCCGAACTTTTCTTCCTATTTCTCCTGTCCTTCCTTTCTCTCTCTTCTTCTTGGCCATCTCTCGATCTTCGTCTCCCCAGATTTAGCTAAACTTTTCGCTTTCTTTTTCTTTTTCGCAGTAATGGATGCCTAATTCCAACAGTGACCGATAAATTCGAAACGATATCTTCAATATCTTCCGGCGAATTCGTAGTTTCCTTCTAATAGTTTGATTTTGAGTTTTGCTTCAATTTGTTGTTTGTTGTAATATTTGTTGGTCGTTAATGTTTTTTCTTTGGTGTGAAAAAACAAAATAAAAGACCAAAACACAAATATAAATCAACACAACACAACACACCAATCTAAATGATAATCGATTTAAATCACAACCCAAACCAAAAAAAATACTATCTACCAAACAAAGTAAACAAATACAGAAAAACACAACACAATACACCAATCTAAAATGATAATCGATTTAAATCACAACACAGACCAAAAAAAAGTACTGTTTGCCAAACAAAGTAAACAAATACAGAGAAACAGGAAACACAAAGAACAAAAAAAACAAGATAATAAACCCCAATGCCAAACAAACCAAAACAATGCAAACGCAAAGGCCATGAACAATAAAAATAGACAAACAAATTCAATCCAACTGAACAGAAATAACAAAAAATCACCGAAACCTCCAATCCCAGAAAATTCGAACAAACACTTACAAATATACACAACAATGAAATCCAAAATGCAATACCAAAAAAAACAAAAAAACCACAACACAAACCTGTATATAACTCCAACGGGAAACAAAATAGAAGAACGAAAACACAAATTTGAAAAAATAAATCTAAATTATAGAAAGAGAAGGCAGTTATATATAGACTGAGAAAATAGAAGAACGGAAAAACAAAATCGGAAGAGAGAGAAACAGGAAATGAAATAACCTAAGGGAAAACCCAAAAAAGCCGCCTATATATATAAAGAGAATGTTTCGGAAAAAGGCGAAATGTAATAGGGAAGTACAAATCCGAAAAACAAATGCTGAAACAGATGTTGTGCTGTTCAAATTGCTACTGTAGCAAATGTTGTGCTATTGAAATTGCTACTGTTCAAAATTGGCACTGTTCAAAATTGGAAATTGAAATGCGTTACTGTTCATAATAGGTCTAACGGCGAACTTCTCTCTTTTTAAGAGTTGTAGATAACTAATCCAACGGTTTAAAGTATATTGGATGATGACAATTATAAGTTACCTTATTTTCTTAAACTCTTTGTTGTTACAATAAACAGTATAAATAGCCATCTTACTTTGTTGCAACTTCATGCAATACATTCTCTCTATTATTTCTCATTTTCCCTACAAAATTGTAATCTAAAAAAAAGGATTTTCAAGTTTATTTCCACATTCGAGAAAAAAAATGGTAATTTTTAATGCATCTTAAATCTTTTTTTTTTTTTTTTTTTTGCGCTTTTATATTGTGATTTGATTTAAGATGAAATAAATTTATATGGTAACCTGGTCTTAATTTCTTTTGAACAAGGCTTTTAGATCAAGTTTTGGTCAATCTATAATAATATATTAAAAGGCGTTTATAAAAATGTTCATGTGCCACGTAGATACTTTTAAATTACGCCACGTCACTTTATAAATACTTCATGACGCCACATCACCAACCAACATCTCCACATCATTACTGAATTAAGCTTAATCATTACGCCACGTCACCCATAAAAAAAAAAGTTAAGGGGATTCGAACACCCAATCACTTATAACAAAGTTAGATATCTAACCATCTTAGCCCATTATCAAGCATATTATAAATATGAAAAAGAAATGAACATAAGTGTAAACAACATAATTTAATTATTAAAAAAGAACACATTCAATAATAGCAATTTCAAATTTCAAAATCCTTAAAAAATAATACCCCAATTGCACGATTACAAAAGTAGCAACCCGGGGCAACGCCCAGGCTACTCACTAGTTTTATTGTTATATTATGTTCTAAGAAACTTTTACAATGTCTAATAATATATCAAGTAATAGAGAGTAAAATTGATATTCAATACCACAAATATATGTAGTAATAATTTATTTAATTGTAAAGTCGTGTCATATTTTAAATTATTGAGTGCTTGAAATAATAATTAAATTCTTATAACTCTATATGTATCTTCCGAGTCAGAATTGAATGAAAATTCTTATATTGGTCTACTGTGCCTTTTAATCTAACTACATATGTATTTTTCTTTGTTTTTTGCAGTCTCTCATCAACACCAATGAATTCCAGGTGATACATCTTTACATCTCTTTCACAAAAAATAATCTAAATTTTCATAATCTCTATTTTATGCAATTTGTAAGCCTTAATGCAAGTTTGCTATTTTCAGGTTGAATTCACTCAAAAATCTGCTAGAGTAAAGTCATTGGACTTTCATCCAGTGCAGCCATGGTAATTTAATGAACGATTTTCAACCATTCTATCTTGTGTGGCCTGTATAGTTCGCCATATTTTCATTCAATCAACAAAACAAACTATTTGATTGTTTTAGTCTTTATAAAAACGCATATAAAAGGCAAGTATAATTTATATATATAGAATTGGACATTAAAAAATCGTTGTACGTAGCATGTTAAAAAGGCATTGACATATTGTAATCAGTAAATAGATGAAACTAAAATACATCTTCCTTTTAAAAATAATTCATAATCCCCTAAAATATTAAATATGCAGGGTCTTGGTTGGTCTTTACTCAGGAACAGTCCAAATCTGGAACTATCACTCAAAGGTAATAATCGAGAATTATCATACTATAAATTGATTTTTCTTTTGCTATTTTACTTTCTGTTTGAAATGTACAACTTATTCTTTTTCTTTCAGAGCATGGAGAAATCGTTCGAGGTTACTACCAAACCAGGCATGTTTTTGATTTTCCCTAACTCTTTAATTATATGCAATTAAAATGTGTCTTATGATTAATGGAAATTTTCCAAGTTTGTGTAAATTAGATTTTTCCTAGCTAGGAAAAAAGATTTGAGTTTCGCAAAATTTTACTAGTATGCAATATGTTAGAAAAATAATTAAATATATAAATACGTTATTAGTTCATCGCTAAGATTAGATGTAAAAGGTTAAAAAAAAATGTAAAGATTTGACTACACAATTTATTGAATATAATGGTTTCATAATTGAAAGACATAAAATAGCAATTTATCAAAGGAAATTTTGGTCTCTATACATGGAAAAAAAAAATACTTGTATTGGCTGCATAGTGTTTGATGTCTTGGTTCTTGCGTTGACCACTATACTACTCAAATAGGTGGTATATATGGTATAGATTATCTCTTGTTAATTAGCAATGTGTTAATTTTTACATTGAGATCAGCAAAATTCGTAGCACAAAAGGATTGGATCATATTTGGGAGCGATGACAAAATGATCCGTGTGTATGACTACAAAACTGAAGAGAAGGTGAAGGAGTTTGTGGCACATAACGATTACGTGAGGCACATTGTTGTTCATCCCACTCTTCCATATGTTTTAACCGCGTCCGATGACAAACAAATCAAGCTTTGGGATTGGGAGAAGGACTGGGTTTGTACTCGAACCTTCCTAGGACGCTCACATTATGTGATGCAGGTGGCTATCAACCCGATTGACCATAACAACTTTGTTAGCGTATCTCTTGATGGCTCCATTAAGGTACGCACTACATAGGAGTTATGATCATATATAAATATATGACACTTCTATAATCTCTACAAATTAGCCTGACTAATTAAAGTTTGAAAGAAAATTATTATTAATAATAAACCGTAAGACATTTGTAATGATTATCATGATTAGATTCGTGAAACATTGATGTACAGAATTAGAATAGAGTCATATTATTTGAGTCTATATATTTTTGTATATTAATTATATCAATTTTCCTATTATCTCTTTTCTTAATATAGATATGGAATCTTGACAACCCGAACCCAATTACTTCAGTAGCTGCCCATAACACTGGAGTTAATTGCGTTGCTTATTACTTAACAAGTGATAATAAACTCTATATACTCACTGGTTCAGATGATTTTACCACAAAGGTTAGTTGATACTCTATGCTTATTACATTAACATTATGATAAATTGATATATACTATAGTTTTCATATATTATGATTATTTCAATTCAAAGAAAGTCTGATTTATGATAGAATGTAAAAATTAGGTATGGGATTATGAAAATATAAACTGTGTTGAAGTGTTAAAAGGACACACAAACAATGTGTCTACAACTCTTGTTCATCCTAACGTTCCGCTCATTTTTACTGGATCTGAGGACAAAACAATTCACATTTGGAATGCAATCACTTACAAGATTCTTACTCCTTTCACACATTTATTTATTTCATTTTGTTGTGGTTTTTCTTTCTTAAAGCAACATATATTTTCGTTTTCATACATTTTCATTTTTGTATATTACTTTGATGATATAATCAAATTTCTTTAATTTTAGGCTGGAGAAGACCCTAGATCAGGGTCTTGGACGAGTGTGGGTGCTTAAGTATGACAAAATTTCCAACAAGTAAGGCTATCAAGCTTATCCTTTAATTTCTATAACTCATATATATATATCAAATTACTAATCATAATTTTGGGTTCGATATGTTAGGATTGTTATTGGCTGTGATGAGGGATTCCTAGTGGGAAAGTTTGGGCCTTGAAGAATTTGAAGTGTGGATGTCTTCGAATCAAATTTGAGCGGATTGGTGTTTATCTGAAATGCTGAAGATGTCTTTATTTTAATTTTCTTAAAATGATTGTCGTATATGCTTTACTTTCTAGAGATTTTAGTATGCACTGCGTGTATCTAGATCTAGTGCTACAATAAATAAAGGACCATTGTCCAACACTCCTACATATTATCATACTTTGCAAGATTGTTACTTTTAGTATTATGTTATTTGAGAAGCTTTAGTACTTCTTTAATTTTGTTTAATTTAGTATTTTTTTTTTAATATTCCTTTTCTTTCATGTACTCCATCCTTGCGTACTTTTTTGTTTTACACACTTTTCATTTTAAATCTATCTATTATGTTTTACTTACTTTGCTTTATTCTATTTATGGCATATCCCTTTACCATCTGACACCTTCAACTCCACATAATAACACATTTTCATACCAATCTTTTTTACATTCTCTCTCTTAAATTACGTATATATAGTAAGTGAATAGAATATAAAAGAATTGAGGTAGTATTTTTTAACATATTACTTAAGGTGTGTTTTATTCACTTGATTTTAACTTATCTGAACTTATCTAAACTTCTTAAAACTTATTTTAGTTGTAATTTGAACTTGAGTAACCCTAATCAGAAGTCAGAACTTATATTTCCTGACCTGAACTTATGTGAACTTATTTTTCCTGAACTGAACTTATCTTAACTTATTTTAACTTAACTTAACTTATCTGAACTTATTAGACCTGAAATAAGTTAAAATAAGGTGAACAGAACAGACCCTTAGTCATAAAATTCTTATTTTGGATAGTAAAGAAGGAAGGAAAGGAGGGGAAGGGAAAGACAGGGACGAGGACGGGGAGTGAAGAGAAAAGGTGGGGAAAGGTGAGCTCCACTTTCCCTCCAAATATCTCTAATTTTGAAGGGATCATGCTTGTTTAAGAGAGACGGAAAATGAATTCCTCCCTATCCCTTCCCAAATCCTTTACCCAAACAAGAAAAAATGTCCTCAGCTCCTCTCTTTCTCTTCTCTTATTTTCCTTATATCCAAACAAAGCATAAACTTCCAGCCCGCGTTTTTAGTGTGGCTGGACATACCGTATGGCAGGCTGACATACCAAAACACTAAACGGGTAACCCTTAACCGATTGAGTAACCCCTAATCGAACGAGTAACCCCTGACCAAGGAATCACTGACCAACCGAGTAACTTCTAACTAAGTAATCCCTTACCGAGTAACCCCTGTATACGTAATCTCGGTTGTGACCAACCACATATAAAATTTATATAAATTTCTTTTTTATATTTTCCCATTCTAGAGATTAAGGAATAAGTTAAGTGGTTAGAATTCCCCTTTCGCTTTTTCTTAAACCAAGTGGCTCTCTATAACAACAACAAAAAAAAAAAAAAAAAAAAAAGTATTTTCCCATTCTACTATCCGTGTCACCCAATAGAGGGAAATCTCTCAAAGCCCTCTTATGTTTGTACAGTACTTCTAATTCACCTTTGGAGCTTTTTCATGTTCATTTACATTGGATCGCTACACCCTCACCCTCTCTTTCCTCCATTGAAGCGTCTTCTGAGCTTTCTCCTCCATTGAAGCGTCTTCCGAGGTAAGCTGGTTTTTTGTCACTACCCTTTGAATATTAATTTCACAATCTAGTTTTAATCATTAATTTAATTGTCACTATAATCAATTTAGGGTTCTTCTGATGTGGATTATTGAACTATTAATTTTATTAAGATTTTCTCAAAAAAAATTAATTTTATTAAGAGATGACAAGAAATTTCGTTGCTATAATTTTTCTGTTCATGTTCTTAAGCTGGAGGAATCATATTTGATGATTGAATTAAATTTTGGTTGCTATATTGTTGTAGAACCCTTAATTTAGTTCAGAACTATGAGAAATGTAATTTATAGGGATTAAAAAAAGGTGAATAATGTTTTCCATGGAGCTCATTACAAGATTTCTCTATGAAATTTTTTATGATTCTTGATAATTTGTATAGGAAAAGTCACAATAGTGAAAATTCTAATGTCAAGTTGGGTTATGCGTTAAGAAAGGTGGATTTAGGTGACAGAGGAAAGCAATGGAGTATTTTATTGGCTCGAGTGGCTGCCGTATATGCAATATACTTCTTTCATCCGAAATTAGTTGTCACGTTCGTTGTGTAATAATGTGATATAGAATAAAGATTAGCAATGTGACTACTATATCAGGACTTGCGGGGGGGGGGGGCTGAGAGTGACTAGGATTATAGTTGCTTTTATGAGCTGACTTGAAAGCTAACCAAACTGATTTTGATCGTTTCATGATTTGCATCCATGTTGCCGTCAAGAGCAATGAGGCACCTTTTTATGGATCATATTTAAACAAAGCACTGCTGTACTATTGTACAAATAACAAAGGAAATGGAGTGTTTTCTAGTTGTTTTAAGGCCTGTTAATTTGCCAATTGGCTTCCCAAGAATGATATTTTTTTTTTTTTTTTTTTTGGGAGAAACCTGGATAGATATCTATTTCTGGAAAAAGGGTATGTTGCTAACTTCAGCTTTTGTAAAGCCTTACTCTTAACAGTCTGGCACATATCTTGGCTGTATAAGAGTAGTTGGTAGAAAAGATTGCTGAGGAGGTTCGAGGTTAAAGTGAGAAATGAGCTTTTCTGGTTTGCAGATTGTGTAAGAACTCTGATGTTTCCTTTTGAGTTGTTTACGATTAGTAGCTTATTCTAAAAAGCAATGACTATCTAAGGCGACTTTGGTAAAATCTTGAGTTAAGGCTGGATTTTTACGAGTATTTGAGAATTATGTTATATATACTCAACTATGGAATTGCCACGTCTTTGCCTTTGAAATTCTATGCCAGTAGAAGTTGCCATGTCATGATTCCGGGAGCAATCGAGCTCACATCTAGTAAGGATATATCCTCTTCTCTTCGGCTAACAAAATAAAGGTGGTGGGTGTTATGTGGTCATTGTCTGACTAAAGGATGCATCTCTCTGTTTGTGATTTTGTGTAGGATTGAAAGAAGGGAAACTTTAAAAGAATACAAGCTATCTCAGTAAGACATTTTCTTCATAAATTTAGGTGGTGTTCTTTCTATCCTCTCGTATGAAAGAAGAAATAGTGGAAAGAGTAAAGAAAGCTAGATAGAGAGAAAATGAAGGGAAATCACATGTGGAGGGGTTATTTTAGATGTGCTTTGTCACCATTATCTCTGAGCATAATTACTTTATTATCTAATTCCCCCTTGAACCTTACATAATTCACTAATTTCTGCTGAACAAAACAATCAAATTATACATGAAAGTGGTACCATTTTGGTCTGATTTAGCAAATTGCATACCTGTATTAACAATATTGTCCAATCTCATACTAGTGAATTAATTAACAATGTGGTATTGTGCATGTGTGCAGCTCAAGATTGTGCCAATGGACAATATTGTAGATTCCCTAAATTCTGCATATCAAGAATTTCTTGCTGCTGCTGCTGGGGTCTTAGAGGCACAAGAAGCATCTGAAAGTCACAAATCACCAATTACAGATACTTCCCTGGAGAGCTTTAAACAGCGTTGGGAACTATTTAGGGTGGCTTGTGATCAAGCTGAGGAGTTTGTAGAGTCTGTTAAGCTAAGGATAGGATCAGAGTGTTTGGTGGATGAGGCCACTGGCTCAGTGGCTGGGAAGCCTGGCCAGGTTGTTGCTGGTCTTCCACCCATAAGTGCTGTAAGGCTAGAACAAATGAGTAAAGCAGTGAGATGGCTTGTGATTGAACTGCAGCAGGGTTCTGGAAGCAGTGGTGGGTCGTCCCACCCCAACTCTTCTGCTCCTTTTGATGCCAGGTTCACAGAGGATACTGCTCAATAGGTATGTGTGATTGGAAATTTTATGTCTTTTTGTTTGAAGCATAGACACTTAATGCATAGTGCTTTGAGAACTTGGGATTATTAAACACTGGTTTTATGCAGCGTTGATGGATGCACTTTCATCAAGATACTAATTAAATGTATTACTAAATGGTAATTATTGACTTTGGGAAGCTCAAATTAGTTAATAGTTCTTCCTTATGACCTTGTGTGCAAATAGGCCTCTGATGGGGTATTGGAAGGGAACAAAAGCCTAAACCTGTTTTCCACTTACCCTACATCAGTTGATGCTTGTATCAGTTATAAGATTATCATCTCACATGTGAGTTCATAAATGACGGTTAATTCTTTCATAGATCTTATAAAAAAGAAAAATCTTCTCATGAGGACTTTGTGGAAGATAAAATCTCCCATGACTCCATGAGTAATATATTTTGCCGTATACAAATGATGAGCTATTTCTGTATATAGTTGAGGCTACAAATTTTATGCATGCTTATTTGTGTCATAGGTTCCTGCATTGATTATTTCCGAGAAAGGATTGTAGATCTTGGTTGTTATTATCGATATTGATGATGAGGTCCAATGAAGAGCACAGTGGGAGCTGCTCCATTTCCCATGGGTTATATATACAGTTTTGACGCCTAGTGGGGAAGAATGTTTTTTTAGGGCCTGGAGTGAGGAGAAAACATTTTGTTGGATTGTTGTGCCTGAGGTCCATGCCCCCAGCACCCCCCTCCCTTCTCACCCAAAAATGTCATGTTTAGGTTAATTGGATAAGAAAATCCTACGAAACAGGTTTTTTTTTTTTTTCCTAACATGGGGACACTCAAGGGTGAAGAAATTTGAAAGGACTGAGTCCAGCATGATTGACTGAATCTTCGAGGGGGTTGGAACTTTGGAAGGACCCGATCAAGGAATAGAAGAAGGATTTGAGAATCTGAGCTAGAGTGTCTGATGAACTTAGCATCCCCTCTCTCTCTCTCAAGTTTTAGGACAATTTCTTTTCTTCCCATGTTAGCTTGCTTTCCAGTTAGCAAGTCTCCAAGACAAATACACAAGCTCAATAGTACAGTTATTGTGCTTGTGAGTGTTTAACATTTATGATGAATTATTGAAAAGTTGAAAGGAATTACATATGTAGTAGAGACCTATTTCTTACTGTATGAGAGGTATTCTTGGACTATGTATTCAACTAGGCCAATCCTTCTTGAATGAAAAAGAAGGAAACTATTCCTAGTCTTAGGTTCACATTCAGGCAAGTGCTCTATCTCCTTTCATTTACTAAGTACTTAACATGTTCATGTGGTAATATCGTTTCCTCTACTTTTTCAAGTAAAAGTTGGCCCAGACCCACCCCCTCTCATTTCTCTGTCCATTTTTTTCACTTTCCTGTAAAACCATTTTTATCCCACATGTAGCAAATAAAATGGGATGAAGTAATTTCTATAATCTTTCTATGAGAACTTATTGCTGAAACTGGGGCATCCTTATCTAGAAGAAGTGCAGACTAAAAGCTTTAAGATTGCAAATTTTCTCCTTTATTATTTTTAGTCGTCACCTTCATAAAGCTTATAGCACTCAATTGTAAAGGAGATATGGGAGCAGGCAGTACCAAATATGCACAATGAGCGAGCTTATGTTCTAAGATTAAATTTAGAAGTAATTGCAGAAGTAAACTGAGAGAACGGTGAATACATCTGTTCTTGTTATAAATGTATATTCTGGTACTTTAGTAGGCCATATCTGCTATTCTGCTGTCCAGCTCAGTGAATTTGAAAGGATATTTTTTTGGTCAAAAGCATAATTCTACTCCTTGTCTTTCTGTATGATAGTAGGGAGTAGGGGACCTGGTTAAAATGGTCGAAAGAACATATGCATGGCATTGTGCACGAGCTACGCCATTTCAGTTTGGAATTTTTAGCTCTAATGGATCTCTTAACCTATTAATTGCGCTTTCAGTTCTTCAAGTGGCAGGTCGAAGAAGACACAAATGTTTTCACAAGTTAGAGGTCATGGTGTTTGTAGGACTCAACAAATACACTGCAGTTGAGACATCAGTGCTTTGGTTTGTGCAGAATTTTGTCAGATATGCTGGGAAGAATTCGCAGATTAATACAGGAAGATCTCACATAACTTAGTAGTGTCTATATGTTGTATTACACAAATTGCAATAGCTTTTGCAATATGTGTATTATTTTTCTTACAGAGTATCTATTTGTGCGGAAACAATTATGAAGTTGAAACTATACTGAATTACTGATGCAACCTACCAGGTTCCCTGATTATAATCTGACATGACTTGCTTAATTACTAGAGTAACAAGACTTATTGTGATTTTGTGCACGTGACTAATTTTCTGGTTGTTTGATCATTAGTACATTAGATATAACTTGCATCCGCTGGTTAACTACAAGCTTGCCAAATCTGTGACAGCGGAATGCTGTCACAATATCCCTTGTGCTCAATAAAACGGTAACATCGAGAAAGTGAATTTTTGTGTTAATAGTAGAGGGCGTTTATTGCAAAAAAACAAAACAAAACAAAAACAAAAAAAACAAAAACAAAAACAAAAAAAAAACATTAATTCAAAAGATGTTTACTATCCAGAATCAATTTCTGACAAATATCGTCACTTCAAAGGACTTGTTGGGTTTGGAAGGAGAGGTAAAATATTGATGTCCAAATCGGGTGATTTACAAAAGTAAGGTTTTTAAAAACTTTTTTACATTTTTACGTGGGAACAAAACTTAATTATCAAAGTATTGTTCATGTAGGATTGGATATAAATTTTTTTTTTTACAAAAAGAAAAATTTATAGTGCAAAATCGTTACTTAGGATAGCGGTTTTCTTAGCAAAATTGTTACTTGAGATAGCGGTTTACTTGTATCTAGTAACTCACTAAATTAGTATAAGTAAAACTGCTACTTGAGATAGGGTTTTTCTCAAAAAAATACAAAATAAAATAAAATCACTCCTATCCTATGTGGACAACGTATTTGTAAATATAAATTTTAAATTAGAGCACAACGATAAATAAGTAATAAACAAATCATACTAGCGTAGTTTAAAAAAAAAAAAACAAATACTTGCGTAAATTTGTTTGTTCAAATCATGGAATTTTCAAAGTTTCCCTTCTTTTTATGTAAACCCGTGCAATGCACAGGTTTTTATCTAATATTTTTGTATATTTCTGTTGATTTTTTTTTTCTTTTGTTTTTCTTTATGTTATAAGTCTTTATACTTTAAAAGAGCAGTTAATTTTTTATGAATTCATTTGAAAAGGATAACACTTATTAGCACTTGTATGCTATTTTAATTAATAAAAAAAAATCAACCTTTAATAAAAATTATAATGAGAAATCAATTTGTCAGCTTCAAACACACTATATATAACTTTTTTTTTTTTCATTTTCTCTGGGCCTCTGTGAATGATGCAGGCAAGATAATTCTTTTATCGACTTTAGCCAAGTTGTATCTCCATTTACCATTGCATCCCTCGGGTTATTGTAAATTTCACGCCTAAGTTGTGGCTGGTGGTGTCTGATATATGGCAACAACCTTTCCTCTCTACATCCTCAAAGCAGAGGGTATTTCATTAATTCTAACTTTGGATGAGTTTCTTTTAATAATCCCAACTTTCGATTACTCTACAATAATCTCAACTTAGGGTGTGTTTTCTTTTAATAGACCAGATGACCACTTGACCAATGACTTAATAGCGGATCGACCCTGCCCAACCTGGTATAGTAGGTTGTAACCTGATCGAAGAAAACATTTTTTGAACACAAACGGGATCAATATCATTAAGCCAAATCAAGTTCCGCCAAGGCAATAATACCTAAATTAATTTTGAAAGTACAAAAGGGAAAAAAAAAATTGAACGTTGAGATTATTAACAAAATCGCTAAAACTAATTTTGTGTTAATTTGAATAAGATAAATAAAATAAAAAAAAATTAAGCAATTAAAAAATTTAATACTTTGTACGTAGACTTGAAATTTTTGGAAAGATTTATTTGACAAAATATCACTCCATGATTTACTTAAATTTTGTAAGGCCATAAAATTAGGAAACAAATCTAACATTTGACAACTTTACATAAGATAATACCAATATCCTAAAAATATTATTCACAAAATTATATCATAATATCAATGTGCAAAATATATCCTAATTAAAGTCTCAAATCTCTAAGTCTTTAACCAAATAGCCACATATGTATTCTGTAAAACATAGACATATACGTAGATTTCATCAGAAATAGTCACAGTTAAAATTAAAAATAATCACAATTTGGTTTCTCTTCATTATTATCATTTTATTATTTGGATAAAAATTCATAAGTCATCAAGATTCAATTAAAAAATTAATCCACATTAAATTACATGTTAATAACGTATAATCTTATATACACACACTACAAAAAAAGATAAAATTACACTTGTTTAACACAAGATAAAATTACACTTTATTATAGAATAAAAGATAAAATTACACTTCACTATGAAAATATATATTTAAAATAAAAAGAGAGAAATTATGCTTGTACTACCTCCGCCTGTGAATATCTGCAACAAAGGACAATTGGACGGACTCCTAGGTAAAACTTTTAGGGGAGTGTTAATTGAGTTTTGGTAGGTTTAATTAATGAGAGAGAAAGGTAAAAATACAAAATTACCCATATGATGATATATATAAACTAAACATTTAAGTGTTGAAAAATAAGGGTATATTTGATATTTGTAGTGTAAACACAAATATTTGTAGTGGATTTTAGGTAGTGGGTAATAGAAGATGGAGGGGACAACTAACCAAAAAGAGGGTAATAGTGGGTAATTAATAGTTAAATATTACCCAAAAAGGAAAAAAAAATAATTTGTTGCAGATACTTCAAGCATCCAAATTTGGCAAATGTTGCAGATATTCATGGGCGGAGGTAGTATTTATTTTCCTTATTTTGTACAATAGGAACCTTGAATGCCAAGCCTTCTTTTCTCCGTTAGCTATAAGAATAACAGACATAACAGAAAAAATACACCAAGAAAAAAAAAAGGAAAACATAAAGAAAATGGAGAAATCACAATTGTTGTCTTCTTTAATTCATGCTGAATTCAACACTGAAATGCAAGGCAAAGACAAACAAAAGGCGTATTTTTGTGTTAAATGTGGCGGAAATTCAATTTCGAAAATAGAGAAGGAAGCAAAGCATAAAGATCACAGAGTTTTTAGACCAAAGAAGAATACTTATAAGTATTGCTACACAAAAAAAGATATATTGAGTTTAGGGTCTGATATTTTGGATGCTACTAAGATTCAAATGTTACATTATTAATAGTACTGATGTATCATAATTTGATAAGAAGTCCTGGGAGTTGTATTACTTGTGGATATGGCATTGACGCTTCATTGTTCTGTTCGATTATAAAGGTAAAAAAGAGGATCGTGGTTTACGAAGGTTCTAGTATATTACTTTGGACCGTTGGATTAGACCTTAATCTGCGGCTGAAATTGGTGGTGGGAAATCAAGGGATTTTGATTGGTTGGGGAAATTTATGGAGTTGTCTTGACTTTTTTTAGAGAATAAAAAAATAAAGAAAATTGAGGTATGGAGAATAAGGCCCCGTTCACTTTATCTTATTTTTGCTAAACTGAAATTATTTTTAATAAATTGAAATTATTTTTAATGATTTTCTATTATATTTCTTCTTTAAGTTTACTTATTTTTACTGAACTGAAATTATTTTTACTAAACTGAAATTATTTTTGCTGAACTGAACTTATTTTTATTGAACTGAAATTATTAGGTGGGGTTTTTAAAACTTTTTTAATGGGGTTGTTAAACACCGTCCTCGAATCTCTAGGTAATGCCCGCAAAATAAAATGTATTTTACAAATTTACCCTCATATATAAACAGATATTTACCCCACAAACATAATTTACCCTCACCCTCATTCCTCTTCTCTCTCTAAACCACCACCACCTCCTCCTCCTTTTACCACCCACCACCACCTCCTTTTACAAGCAAACTACTCAATCTACCTAATTTTCGCGGAAATGACGAGGAAGGACAAGGGAAAGGTGGTCGCCGGAGAAGAGGGTTTTTTTTTATTATTATTTTTCTTTTATTTTCTAGAATCGGCTGAAACGCCCAACTATTTCGAAAAACCTAGGCTGAAACGCCTAGATCGTTTGAATAACTGCCTGGTTGTTTGAAATTTCTGGGCGTTTCATCCCAGCCGCCCAAAAATTTCGAACAATCAGGTGGTTATTCGAAAGATCTGGGCGTTTTAGCCTAGGTTCTTCGAAATAGATGAATTGTAAACCGTTGAAACACTCTTGTTTTATTAATATATAAGACAAGCTTTGAGGTATTGTGGGAGCTTTGTTGCCAGAATAGGATGAAATATTGAAAATCTTGGAGGTTGTTACCTTTGTTAAAGATAAATGTTGGAGGTCATAATTAGCAGAGATATATACTTCATTCATGGAATTTCAGTTACATTATGTTGTTTGAGCTTAGGTTCTCCGTCCATTTCAATACTTCTCTTCTCATTATTTGGATGTCATTTTTGCAGTTAAAAAAGAAAGACAAGGCTGATGAGCCAAGGTCTCCTGTGAGTTCATTGGAAGGCCCAGATTGTTGGTTGATGGTTGACCGTGATCGTTGGTGGCCGGTAAACACTAGAGAGAACAGTTAATTTGTCTAGGGTAAAAGTGTTAAGTTGAATTAAAATTAATTTTTTTTATAATAAGGCTATGTACGTAAATTTAGGTTATTTTACGGGCGTTAGTTAGAGAATCGAGGGCGATGTTTAGCTTTTCACTTTTTTAATACTCCTTCGTCCCAATTTATTCTTTCATCCCAATTTATTCTACCGTCAAAGTACCTTGGGAATGCTATATTAGACGTGGTGGCTTCATCTAGGTCAGGAGATATCATAAATTTCCCCTTGGGTTATACTTGTGCTAGAATAAGGGAAGCAATTGAAAAAGTGGACGATAATTATATTTGGTCAAATATTGACTTTTGGAAAAATTTGACAGATTTATCCCCCTTTCAAGACTTGCATGCTCGTAACAAAAATGAAGGCCCATTTTATGGTAACCCCAATCTTGGGGTCAATAGTTTGGTTGACTCTTCCGATTTATGGGCTTGACTTTGGTTGGGGAAAAGAGATTTATATGGGTCCGGGTACCCATGATTCTGATGATGATTGTCTTATGCTTCCTGGGCCTGTGGATGATGGGTCAATCCAAGTTGCTATTTGCTTGCAAGTGGGCCATACGGATGCATTTAAGAAATATTTTTATGAGGACATACCATTTGATGCTTAA